GTCAACGCTGGCTCTTCACTCATGGGAAGCTTACGTCACGTAGCGACTTGGTGTTTTTCCGTAACAATACCCTAAGATCGCTACAGCTTGCTCCCCTTGCAAATGCATTCCTCCAGTGCCAAGCAACGCGCTTGTCCGATCCGACACAGTCCTAAATTCTATTGCTGCGAGTACTCGGGGACTACCACAGTGGTCTACACCAAGTACAATCGACCGGTTGGCGGAGACTACGAGTCGTTCTACATCGATGGCTGGAACAAACAGCGCCAAGTGAACTACCCGTACGTCATGTACGACACACAGACGCCTAAATTCTACTACAACGACCCCAGCACAATCTGTCGAGTGCAGGCTTATAGCCAAGCCGGAAACGGGCCAGTTGACGGGAGAGTTACAGTGTGCCGACTTCAATTCATCATTGATAGCTGCGTCGCAAGACAGCAAGCACTCTCATGTTGCGTGACGACTCTGTGGATTCGGATCTTAAGGATGCTTGTATATCAACGTCCACGACCACGACCCCGCATTTCACCTCGTACACAGAGACTCCGCTAGTCATCATCTACTTTCTGTATCTCGCCTCCTTCTTGCTGCTCGGTGGTACAAGAACTTCAAGCAGACGGCCAACCAGTCCGTGAACGAGATGAACAAGAAGCTGGTTGCTACCCCACAGACGCCGTCAAGAGCTGTTGTGGGCGATGCCAATGGTCGTCACACGGGCGTTCGTGCCTCTGATACGCGAAAGCAGATCGAAGCCAGCGAGGGAAATTTACAGACACGGCTCTCAAACTCTTACCTCGGCACGTTCGTGTTTGGCTGTGTAGTGATTGCGTCGCTGGCTCTGAACGCTTCTCATCGTCATTATCGCCGACTATTACGCCCCCCCCCTCGTTGATGCGTCAGAGGACAACGCCGTCGTGTTCATCGTCATGTGGGTCATCATGTCGATCAGGTTTGCGGTTTTTCGATCCGTTTAAAAAATTGAAATTTTAAAACTTTCTCTCGTCTAAGGGGGGCCCTTTGTAAAAGTGGGAGATTCTTCTTTTGTTGTAAGCGGGAGCAACCCAAATTCTTTCTTGCGGAAACGATTGGGTGGGGTCGGAATTCCCTAATCAAATCCAAGACTTCCTTCGCCTCCCAGGGAAAAATCAACGGATATCGTAACACTGTTCGGTGGTGGAGGTAGATGGACTCCGAAATGTCGAGTTCCAGCACATCCGATACGTGTACGAGGAGAACGAAACAGCGCTTTGTGTCTGGTGTCGTCGCACTCGGTCGCACCTACGACGATATGCAACAAGAAGCCAGCGGACTATCGGATACCGAAGCGAGACACCGAAATCAACACCGGTCGGATCGAATTTCCGTTGACGTGGAGATGCCGGCGCTTGCCAGTGTCCATGGGGCAGGGAATTCCTCTACTTCTGTTCTACATCTAACCAAATATTGGGCTACAACGCCTGGGTACTATTTCACGGTACTGGAAACTGGGGGATTGTCCTGGACGGTCGTTGGGTGTTAGTGTGGCCTCTGTG